CTGTATACCTTGCTATGCCATTTTCGATACGTGAATTATAGGTCCTAATTGTAACTTTAGAGCACTGGTGAATATTTATTTCTTCGTAATTTGCATAACAAATTATTTATAAACCATGGCGTCCTACGATGTCATTATTTATATATAATGGCACTCGACCTCAACGATTATTTATATATAATTGGAAGTAAAAACCATTATTTAGATATAATGACCGTGACACGATAACACGTGTGCATTACATATAATGAGTCCAAGTCCAAGCGTTATATAAATATAATGGTTTTGCGACAGCTAAAATGAAATGTAAAAGCAGTTATTTATATATAATGAGTTTGAAGAATTCATTATTCATATATAATAAAAATAGTGAACTTATATATAATAATTGTAAGTTACTTTTCATTATTTATATATAATGATTTTTGCTTTTTCCTACACTGCGCTGTTACAGAAAATTATATATTATAAGATCTTTGATGCACGGTAAAATTGTAGGGTACCACTGTCACGGTGCTCTATTTTTATTGTTTTAAAAATCTGCACCCAGTCTGCCTTCGAAGGGGTTAAGTTTAAGCATCGTGTTTTAGTGTAGCATTTGTGTCTGTAACAACGTTGGAGTATACAATGTAACTATGTACAGATGCAAACGAGGACTTGTAAATATTTGTATTTCTGATCAAGCTTTTTAATATATTGACATTTATGTTTGCATTTGTGAAAGTTTTGAGGATGGAAGATTAAGATATTATCGACAATACATGCTAAATTTGATATAGGCCTATGTTTAATAAAAATCCATAAACAAAAACCATATTTAAATAATATATCTAGTCTGCTGAGAAAAGAAATAGCACGAACAGCCTTCCACTAAAGCCCCGAATCTTGGATATTACTGAGCGGTTTTGGGACATGCGCGTATTCCTAACCCTGTTGTGATTAGTCAGTTGTTACATTTTATCACGGTTTGATCGACGATAATTACGTTTACTTTAAAGTTAAATATAATTAATATTGTTTCAGCTATGACTAGCCTACTTGATATCTCAAGGCATTGCTTAGTTTGTATTTTCTGTTTTATTATTATATTAATATTATTATTACACAAAATTGAAAATAAGTTATGGCATTGTGTTAAATGTGATGATAGTGATGGTGATTAGGTGACGATGATGATGGTAATGATATAATAGATGACGATGCCACTGAAGATGATTAACAAATATAACAAAACAAATGAAATATAAATACAAAAAGATTACGGTGAAAAATTGTACGGTATTTTTTTGTTGCTCGTTTCTTCGTACGATAAACATTGTACACTTTATTGCTCGTCTCTTTGAATCTGCTCTATAACGTTATTTCATTCAAATAAATAGGCTTATCCATTTTCAAGTTAACTGGATGAAACATGTAAGAAATACATATATGGTAAGACAACGGTGGTTGTCAAGATACGAATGCCCTATATAATCCTTTCCCACTTAATTTGTATAATTATGCTAATTTGCACATTATAGGGCATGTGATAGAGGTACGTTTTCTGGAATTCACTTTCATCAAGTTCTCAAAATGTTTTAAACACATTTGTTTGTCATATCTGCCGTAACTGTGATTATTGAAAACAATCTTTTTTTCGAGCTTATTCCAGCGAATGCAATGGATGAGAGACATAAAACAATTTTGATAACTAGGCCTACATGTACCATTACTATATCATGTATTCAAGTATGTGACCTTAAATAACTTTTGACCTGAAATAACATGGAAACTGTCACATCATTTATGCTTCTCCATCACATTTTAATAAGCCAATTTTTGCAGCATTCATAATGATTTATTATCAAAATCATTATTTGACCTCAAATTACCTCTAAAACATCCCAGACATGTAGAAAAGGACTTTCCCTGTTCACATCCTTGTTCATAGATTAAACCCTGAAAATGTCATCACTTCTGTCACAAAATGCACGGTTTGGCCATTTGTTGTGTCTTAGCTCCTACATTCGAAATTAAAAGGAAATTTGTGGGCGAAGATGTCATGTTTTGTTGTTACATATCAGGAGCGGACCCAGAGATGTCCAAATGGGGGTGGGGGCGAAAGTTGGGCCGATCGAGACAACACAGTCCTAGGGGGTCCGGGGGCATGCCCCTGCGAAATTTTTGTGTTCTACACGCCCGAAAATAACAGGCGTTGAGGCGTTCTGGGCTATCGTTTTTTTTTTTCTTTATTTTCTTTTTTTTTCTTTTTCCCCTTTTTTTTACCTCCCAAAAGGGGGTGGGGGAACGGGGCTGAGAATCGCCACATATGTAATATGTATGTAAGTAAGTATGTAATGTACGTATTTTGCATGAAAACAGCGATAGCTGATTTTAAGCATATATCTTGAGAGATGTATATTTGTTTTGTAGATTAACAGATGCGTTCGGAGGTTTTTCACACGAATTCAAGCCCTAAGATTGTTTCGTTACCCTGAACAATATGTTGAACAGTAGCAGTACAAATAATAAACAGGAATTATGTATAATGTGTGACAAAATATTCAAAGATTCAAAATAACTTTATTGCAAACTTAAGGAAAATTTGAAATGTACAGAATAATTAATAGTAATATACAAATATATATGAAACATTTAAAATACTCAATTAAATCTCTTCTCAATATTAAAGTACAATAAATATATATTAATAATAATAATAATTGAAAGGTCTATAATATCGCACTATCAAACCAATATTTTCCCAATAATTTATCATTATACAGTAATCAATGGGACTGGTATCACCGGCCATGAGCTGTTATCAATTACCATAAAACACATGTTTCTCTTTCCAATTTTATTAAAAATCCCATAATGAAAGTAGAAGTAAACGCTTAAGTGCTTTGAAGTTGCAAGGAAGATTATTCAGTACAAAAGGTAGAGATTTGAAGTTGTCATCATAAATTTCTTACAAATTTATCATTGAGAGATAATCTAGTTTTATATACAAAGCGAGATCTCGGCGCATTATTTTATAGATATTGTCCAAATGCCTATTCTGGGCAGATGATATCATTTTAATTGAAGACAGTGAGCAAGACTTAAAATTACTTTTAAATGCAGCAAATGAATTTGCAACACAATGGAAAATGTTATTCAATTTTAATAAATCAAATGTTATTATAACGGGACAACGCCACAATGTACATAGGGAATGGCCAATTGGTAACAACTTTATTAATGAAACTAAGGCATATAAATACCTTGGAATGTTTTAACAGAATTTACTATGGCGATATTCTCTGGAAGTCAATTGGCATATCAACTATAACTTACGCAAGTAACATATGATTCTGTGACATCAATAAGTCTTCCACGCAAAAAATTGAAAATATTCAATATCAAATGGCTAGATCCTTATTAAAGGCACCCAGATATGTTGCGAAGGAAGCTCTCTATGGTGAACTAGGGTGGCAAACAATAGAATACATACAGATAGAAAGAATATTAACATATTTTCACAGACTTCAAAATATGGAAGAGCATCGTTGGCCACGTTTACATTTTAGAGCTCTCTTTGCACTAAAATATAATATAAGTTGGAAATGGCTGCAAAATATTGAAATCCTCTTGAATACAAAAAGTTCAAAACACTGATAAAGTATTAATTAGACAGTGTATTAGTTACTGTATGTAAGAAACGTCTATAGCAAGACAAATGTACATATGTTATTATTACTCTTATATATTGTTAATTATTGTTGCACATCTCTTTAGCGATTGTGCCTCTGTTACAAAAGAGAAACAATAAAGTTATTATTATTACCTATGGCAAACGATGCGTAATATCTAACAACCCAAATGATACAGTATCACATGTGATGAATTGATGTATGCCCTTCAGAAATATATTTATGTTGCTCGACATATAGAGTAGTCGATGTAATCCATAAGGAAATTATGAGTATACGTCCTAGTATTGCTTATAAAGACCAGTTTACCAATGTCAATATGTTTTACAATAATGGGACCGATTTTAGCATAGTACAACATCGTACAACGACTTGCTATTAATTGATCACAAAGGCATTTATCGTAGAAATTTCAACCCCATTCGATGCGTTTGTAGATACTTGTTATGAGACCGAATTCAGAAAATACATGTTATTCGAATTGATAACTGTAGATACAACTTTGAATGTAAGGTGATCGATTATTGTTTTATTGGGTAGTGGGCATCGCAGGGTTGTAACTGGGATGAGGTTATTGGGTTTTACTCAAAAACAAAGTAAATCCATTGCTAAATATATGAGTATAAGCTCCTGTATTGGATACAATTTTGTGTGAAGAAAACGTGCAAAATATGTTTGTAAAAGGTATCCGTGTTCGGACCCATTCTTATAGTAAGGGTGTGATATTGTTGACTGTAAACCGTGTTTTATAATTACTAATTGTTATAATAAGTAGAGTTTACAGATGAAAGTTCAAATATAAACATACATATATGAATGTACATACACACAGCAGAGATGCACATACACATCTCAACTTAAAGGGCATTTACACAGGTCAAATGGAATATTTTAAATGCGGGAGTTACTTAAAAATATACATACTAAAACATTAATGTTATCAAATCAACGTCCACGTATTTCTTACACGTGTGCACTATGCTAAAGTCCAAAAATCGATGTCACAGGTTGACTAGTGATGTCAGAATTTGACTACCGGAAGTCGAGGTCACGGTTGCTAACTTAAAATTCATGATTTTCGAAAAATATCTGACATAACGTTTAGAATCGTGTTATCTATTTAGAATATATGGTCTATAGGCTAATTTCCAACTTTTTTTTCTTTGTATATATAC